ATCACTGATCCTCAGAGCTAGAAACTGGCGGGTGGCAGGTAGTAGTTGTACAACACAGACATCTGTATAGAAAAAAACAAATCAACAAACAGTAATAAGGCTAATATTTATGGAGAGCTCACTCTGTGCTGGGCCTTCAGACACACACTCAACTCACTGCCTCGCCACAACATGCTATGAAGTCAGGACTGTTATTTCCCTGTTTTGCAGAGGAGGAAACGGAGTCACTGTGTTTGGGAACCCGGACTGTAGGCTATGAAGGTCAAGGCCAGGGAGAGGATAGGAGTGGTTCATCACCTGACCCTGGGCAAAGAAACCTGTAGTTCCTGGGTTCTTCTCCATCAAGGGTTTCCCATGAGAACAGGCGTTTGCAATCGCTGGTCATTACATAAGAGACTTAAGAAACGGATTTTCTATCTGCTGTTTCTGCCAGCCCTCGGAACAGCACGGCAAACCCTTATTGCCAACCTCAACACGATTCTCGCCATGACCTACTTACATGGATTTCATTGAACTACACACACCAAGAACAGCAAGCAGAATCTAATGACATAACCAGTTTTCCATCTTGCCCAGCCAATGTGGCTCAGTGGTTGAACCAAGAGGTCCCCAATTTGATTCCTGGTCAGGGCACATGCCCTGGTTGCAGGCTCGATCCCCAGTAGGGAGTGTGCAGGAGGCAGCCGATCGATGCCTCTTTCTCATGGATGTGTCTATCTCTCTATTCCCTCCTTCTCCCTCTCCCAAAAAGAAAGAAGGAAAGAAAAAAGAACAGTCTTCCATCTCTCCAAGGCAAATTATATCCTATATAATAAAAGGGTAATATGCAAATCGACTGAACGACTGGTCGCTATGACACGCATTGACCACCAGAGGGCAGATGCTCGATGCAAGAGCTGCCCCCTGGTGGTCAGTGTGCTCCCACAGGGAGAGTGCTGGCTCAGCCACAAGCTGGGCTGACATCTGGGGAACGCAGTGGTGGTTACAGGAGCCTCTCCCACATCCGCAGCAGCACTAAGGACGTCTGACTATGGGAACAGGCCTACGCCATCAGTCGGACATCCCCAGAGGGCTCCCGGACTGCTAAAGGGCGCAGGCCAGGCTGAGGGACTGCCCCTCCCCCCCCCCCCCCCGCCAGAGTGCACAAATGTCATGCACCGGGCCTCTAGTGTATCTATAAAGCCACCTTCTGTAGTTTTATTCATCTGTACTAACTTGCTCATTTGCTAGCGTGCCTCTTTATTTTGTCATTGGCCAGCTCTAGCTAGCAGGGAGATAGTAAGGGGCCCCCAAAGATTCAGAACAACACATTCCTGTCCTCATGGCCTCACAGCGTGGTGAGTGCTGTGAATGTGGTGAGACAGGAGACAGGCCAGGGAGGGGGAGCGGGCCTTTTCTTCCTCGGAGAATGGGAATCCTTCTTTGAATTTTGTGGCTCTCAGCCCATTCGGCTTGGGAAACCCTGGGAAGAGGGTGAGAGCCACTGGTTACCTAATGGGAACGATTCAGGTTTGAGAATACACTGTCAGCCTCTACCACCAGGATATTAGTGTCAATTCAACAGAAGCTTCTGCTCTGCTTTCCCAACTCTCTCCTTAACCTTCCCAACGAGGGGACAAATAAGAGGACAAAGCTCACCCATGCCACAAACAGCTGTAACGCGCAGTGCAGTACCCGCAGCTTCACAGGATGGCCGATGCCCACAGGGATGTCCGCAGTGAAGAAACAGCTGCAGATCACCCACAGCCCAACCCCCAGGAAGAGCAGGCAGGGGGCCCCGAGGAGGGCCAGGAGGACCGCCATCCCGCTGTTTCCACCACTGAGGAGGCCACCAGCGGCCGTGCTCAGCACACGCCACCTAGGACACAGTGTGGAGCCAGCAGACTGCCGACACTTATATCACAACCTGCCTTCCCCACCTCCTCATGCCCCAGATGCCCAGGCCAGGTGAGTCACAGACTCGAATGAGGACCTGGCTCCACAAAGCCCACAAAGAGGAGAAAGTGGCGTGGACAACCTGGCCCGGCTGGAAACCAGGGCTCCCGGGTTCCAGCCTCCATCCTGGCACTGCGGCCAGAAAGGGCCCTGTGCTAGGAAGTCGGCACGAACATCTCTGCCCTTTGACCTCACTGGCTGCTCCCGAGTCCGCCCAGGAGGCCTCAGGGCTTCTGCGCTGTTCTCTGTGCAACACTCTTCCCTCAGACGTCAGCTGAGTCAACCCTCCCCTACTGCCGCCTCTGCTCTCATGACACCTTCCCAGTGAGGCCGCCCTGGCCACCTTATTTCAAATTTTAACCCTCTACCCTCACCCCCCCCACCCCCTGTCACCCACACCCCCCCCACACACACACACCCCCCCACACACACTCACCTACTTAATTTATAATTATGTCTTTTCTTATCATCTGACATAGTATCACCCTTCACTTACTTGTTTATTGTCTGTAGCGCATAACTTCTGGGGAGACAGGAATTCTTGTTCTGTTCCTTGCTTTATCCCCAGAGGTTTGGTACTTAGCAGGTGCTCAGCAAATGTCTACTGAATAGAGGAACGAATACATAGACGCTGTTCTTTGTACTTAAAATATTTTTATTGATTTCAGAGAGGAAAGGAGAGAGAGAAACATCAATGATGAGAGAGAATCATTGATCGGCTGCCTCCTGCACGCCCCCCACTAGGGATTGAGCCCGCAACCCGGGCATGTGCCCCGACTGGAGAATCGAACCGCAACCTCCTGGTTCATAGATCGAGGCTCAGCCACTAGTCATGCCAGCTGGGCTTCCAATCACTTTAGAATTTGGAATTGTATGTGTTTGTTTTCCCTGCTTATTTCCTGTCTCCCCAAGGAAATGACAACTCCAGCAAGGAGCCATGTCCGTTTCGCTCACTACGCATCCCCAGTGTTGAGCACACACTATAGGTGCTCAATAAACCATCATTGAATGGATGGATGGATGATGTCACATGACCTGGGGAAAAGGGCAACATGGAAAACTCGGGTCCTCTCTCTGTTTGGTTATGTTTCTTGTAGGTGCTGGTGGAAGTGAGAGGAGGTGGAATTGCAAAAAGCCTGGAGACAGCACACATGAAGTCTGTGTGAAGTTTATGGCTTTTGAAACCATCTTCGACTCATTTAGATTTAGATCCTGCAGCCCCTGTCTCCTCCATGTTACCCAAGGTCCCCAAGGGCCCTTGACTGCTGGGTAGGGAGAGTTCCAGAACCCACAACACCGTGAGTTCCATTTCCACAGATGAGGAGACAGAGGCTGTGTTTGATGAAGCAATTGGTCCACAGTCAGGGGCAGGCAGAGCTGGGATTCAAACCCAGTTCAATTCAAGTCTGACTCCAAGGCCAAGTGCATCCATTTCCAGCAATCCACCACAGTCCACATACCACAAAGCTTGTAGAAACCACCCCGTTCCTCTCTTGTCGATCCATCCACATTTTTATGATTTCCCATCATACAGTTCTTGAAAATGCCTTCCTGTGAGATGACTTGGGCAAAAATTCTTACTCATTGTAAAGATATGGAAGCTGAAGCTTGGGGTAATGGGTGTTTGCATTATTATTTAGGAAACCCAATTCTGCTCCTAAGAGAGAGAACAACAGGATGAAGGAAACTCAGAATAGTGTGAAGCACAGATGACAGTAAACCGGTACCATGAGGCTTAGATAAAACATATAGGGACTGTTAGGGATAGACTGTGAGTGAACACACAGCTTAGAGACACAGGAAGAAATCACACCAAGTGTTCACCATAGGCAGTAAGCAAGATAGTAACTGTACAACATATTAATAATAGAGTCCACACACAGAACATGGAAAGATCGAGGGATAAGCCACGAGAATGCCAGGCCTGGAGTGACAGCCACATCATCCTAAATTGCTCACCCGTTGGGAACACCCAATATGGCCCCACTATGTGTCCTTCCCAAAGGATGCTGACAAAAGTCACATCTACTCAGCAAGCTAATGAATGAGCTTCTGCGGGGCCAGGTGTACCTGGTGCTGTGTCTCTCCAGTGGAGTTAGTGTGCATGTTGGTTCCGGGCACGGTCCATTCATTGGAACCCCTCCAGTGCTCTTAACCACACCAAGAGAGCTCCTGCTGGATGTGGCAACGAGAGAAGACATGTGAATATTGCCCGGGAGGAGCAGGTACGCATCTGCCACCCCCTGGCACCTAATTCAGTGTGGGCGGACTTACCCTTCTCTTTCCCCTTGCTTCTCGCTATGTTTTAAATGGGTTTAAACCTTGTGACTAGACCAGTGATGGCGAACCTTTTGAGCTCGGCGTGTCAGCATTTTGAAAAACCCTAACTTAACTCTGGTGCCGAGTCACATATAGAAATTTTTTGATATTTGCAACCATAGTAAAACAAAGATTTATATTTTTGATATTTATTTTATATATTTAAATGCCATTTAACAAAGAAAAATCAACCCAAAAAATGAGTTCGTGTGTCACCTCTGACACGCGTGTCATAGGTTCGCCATCACTGGCTAAACCGTCTTAATTGGTCTGTGAGCCTGCTCAATGACCTCCAGAAGTCCTTTCCTGGTAGTATTTGGGGGCTATTCCTGCATCCGGGTAATGTCCCACAGCACACACGGCTGATCTTGAACCTGAAACTTGCCTATGACCTTTGCCTTCTTCATTCTGCTTGTATGCCGCCCCATGTTCACCTGGAGTCTCTCCATCGAAATCGGCTCCTTCCTCTATGGTTGGACATTCCAGAGAGGCCACACCATCTTACATTCCCACCAGCAATGAACGAGTGATCTGTTTGCTCAGCATCCTTGCCAACGCTAGATGTGGTCACTATTTTCCATTTTAGCCAATCTGGTGGGAGTGTGGTGATATCTCATTATGATCCCTACGTGGTTCTGATCCTTTAATAGCTATAACAAGATAACGTAAGCGGTGCATAGACGGTATAATACACATCAACCCAGCAGGACACGGGAAAAAGAATTCTAGTTTGCACACATGAAGATTTCTGGAGCAAACCTATGAACATTGATGTAAGCCAGTGGTTCTCAACCTGTGGATCACGACCCCTTTGGCGGTCGAACAACCCTCTCACAGGGGTCGCCTAAGACCATCCTGCATATCAGATATTTACATTACGATTCATAACAGTAGCAACATTACAGTTCTGAAGTAGCAACAAAAATAATTTTATGGTTGGGTCACAACATGAGGAACTGTATGAAAGGGCCAGAAGGTTGAGAACCACTGATGTAAGCGAAATAAGTAAGGCCAACAGCTACCATCATCCCAACTGCAATCTGAACACACCAACAAATGGGCTCGGGTCAGATCTGGCTGCCAAACAAGTAATGAAAACAGTCCTCGGTTTTCCCAGCTGCCGGGATATTGGAACTGAAGATAAGGAATCTCGCATCTGCTGGTGAATAATTCCAGGTGGCCTATTTCATTAAGGCGCTGCGAGAATGGACTCCAGGCGTGGTAGAGAGGATAAGCTGGGAGACGACACTGTTCATCGATTCAATTTTTCACCCACCTGACAAATACTTGTTGAGTAAGTATTTACTCGATACAGCAAACGGGGCCTCCCGGTGAGGGAGGCTCTCCCACAAAGACTGGATGCCTTTCCCCGTGATTTCTTGAGCGTCTGCCACGTGCCTGGCA